CGGTTTCATTGGTTTTAATACCGCTCCCTCTATTCTTAAAGGTAATTTCATAGGTATTGTACGAACCATGATACAATCGATTTATCTTAACTACTATATCAAGAATAGCTTACCACATCGCATCTACATACTTTGTAACCGGGCTTACTATAAAGGCCCCATATGAGGGATCCATAATGGGTTTCTAGAAAGTCTCTCTTTAAGGGATCCATAGTTTTTTATATATAATGGATTTATATAAGGTCTCTACATAGAGGATCTATAAGATTTCTATAAGCAATCTGTAAAGGTTTTCCAGAAGGGCTCCATACGAGGGATCTATACAGGGCTTCCATGTGGTTTCTACAAAGGGTAAGGAATATATAGCAGTTGTCTATGAAAGCTCCATGTAAGGGATCTTGTAAAGTTTTCTACAAAGAACTCCATTTGTTGATCTATACGGGGTTTCTATAAGTTCTCTATATAGGGGATCTATAAAGTTTCTATACGAATCTATAAAGGCTGTCTATGAGGGCTCCATACAAGGGATCTGTGAAGGGATCTATAGGGATTCTTCATGGGAATGTATACCTTCGATGCGGATAATTGCGCCTTTGTTAAGATCGTGAAGACTATTAACTACGTGATACCCTTCTTGGCTAATGCTGTGATCACATCAGATCTGATATGTATAGAGATACATTGGAATGCACGTGGGGAAACAAACTGACACATTACAGGCCTTCTAATGTGTCATTATTCCTATTGAAACCTTAAAGGCAAGGAACTTATACACTGTAGGGCATCTGTATATTGGAAGGCCTCTGGGTAGTATAAATTGACGCATTACAGGCCCTCTAATGTGTCACTCCACTCCCTCCTATGGAACCTCTATTGCAATGGAACTTTTCCACTGGAAAACCCCTGGACATAATAAACTGACACACTGCAGGCCCTATAATGTGTCGCTCCACCTATCCTATTGAAACCCTACTGATAAGAAATTGATACATCGGAAAGCACTTTTTATGGACATAACAAACTGGCACATTAAACCCACTATAATGTGTATCTTCACTTCCTGGGTCCTGGACTGGGCAAATTGACATATTACATGCCCTCTAATGTGTCACTCCATTTCTCCTACTGAAACCCTACTAACAAGGAACTTATACACTGTCAGGCCCCGGTGCCTGGGCATATCAAATTGACATATTACAGGCACCCTAATGTGTCACTCCACCCACTCCGATTGACCCTCTACTGACAAGGAACTTATACATTGGAAAGTCCAGGACATAACAGATTGGAACAATACATGCCCTGTAAAGTGTTACATCATGTGATATGGATGTGTCATGCCGTATGTATTCCCATAGTTTGTCATATAAACACATCCGATTCATGAGTACCGAACCTGTCAGGTTTTGCATTCTGGCCTGTGCGGAAATTACAAACAAATTTATGCCATATTACAGCGTGCATGCTTATTACGTGATTCTTGGATGGATATGTCGTATGCAATTACTCAAGCGCTGGCAAGTCAACAATAAGTCGAATTGTGAAATATTTGGACAGGACAATTTGTCCATGTTGCCGATATACTGCTGACAGTGCTATGCATATCTTCACGACGATACATCATTCCTGCAAGATGTATGGACTCTATACACTGAAATGTGTCATCACAACGAATGTTTATTCATCGACAGTGTTGGGATCAACACTCGATGTTCTGTTTATATAATACTCGTCTCCCTGAATGCGAGTAATTTGCTATAATTACTTGATAGAAAAATATAGCCTAGTCGATCCGAAACTTTTCAGGTCGTGGCTTTGTAATGTGGGCTGTGCTTATACCTTACATTTTGCTTTCCATTATGTGCTGAAGACAACAAACCGCGGTTATATAGACCCTAAAGGTATCGGGCACATATATATATATATATGCATGTACGTATATACACGCAAACAAGCCCCAAACCCCAGACCTTAATACTTATCCATCTCTGTGTCTTTAAAGTATGTGATGTGCGCATTTTCGCTGGGCCCCGAGCCAACCGACTCTTTGGAGCCGGGACCTCTCCCCGAACCTGGCAGCAGCCCTCAACCCTCCCGTGGTACACTCACAGGGACCCCTAAACCCCTAGACCCTAAACGTTTAGGGTTTAGGGGTTGGGGTTAAGGGTTTAGGGTTTAGGATTTAGCGGGGTTAGGGTTAAGGGCTTTGCCGAATCTAATTAAATTTCACACACTAACCGTTGAGGGTTTAGAGGTTAGGGTGTAGGGGTTTGGGGGTTTAGGATTCAAGGGTGCAGGGCTTATACGTTGTAAAGTCTAAGGGCATCGGGTTTAGGACTGAGGGGCTTTGGGAGTAGGGTGCAGGGTCTAGGGCTCTGAACCCTTGACCTGGCACTTGGCACTTTGAGGCTGCCAGCTGCTTTTGACTTGAGCATCGACCATGGTTCCATGTATCTATATTAGGGCCCCCAAAAAAAGCAACTAAGCAACAAGTAGGATAGGGATATCCCATGTAAGCCCCCTCGTAACGAAGCCCAACAAGGTAGGCATATCCCTTTATAATGCTCATGCTTATGTCCCGTTTGGGTCCCTCTTATATAGTCTACACCTTAAGGGTTGCTTTAAATGTACCACGGGTTCTACCAAAGCAACATAAGGGTTTAGGGTTTAGGGCATAAGGCTCGATGTACCTATATAGTGATGCTACAAGTTGTAGGTTTTTAGGATGCTTTTCGCTTTGCCGGAAGCTTTCTAGGAGCTTTGAAGCTAGGAGAGTGGAGACCTGGTGGTGCTGCTTACGGATTTATGGCCTACCCTAAAGCTCCCAACAGGGTGTCGGGCCTTCTGGGGGAGAGGAGATAAGTCTGGGTAGATAGTCACACTCCTATGTTGGAGCTTGGGGCGTTGATGCTTTACGGTTGTTGGTCTTCACCTGCACTGTCGAAAGGTCGGTGTCTGAGCTTTGGCCCCGTCCTAGAGACTCCAAACATCCAAATCACTTCGAACGTCTCGGCAACAGCTTGAAAGCTTTCTAAGCCCTGCACCGAGCCCTGCAAAGCATCCTACAAGTCTTTGGCTCTAAACACAAAAGGGTCTGAAACATTCCTGCATTCCAAAGGTTCTTGAGGGTTTAGGGCTGAAGGGCTTTGTAGGATCTAATTGGGTGGTTGTCAAAATGATGGCCCCTTTTGGGGTCCTTGTTATAATACGGCACCTAGTATTTAGGGTACTCAAAAGGGGCCACAATTTTGACAACTACCCAATTACATAAGGTCAGAAATAGGGTCTGAGGTCGAGGGCCTCGGAGCTTTCAGTGTGAAGGGCGTTAGTTGGGGTCAAGTCAGTTTGAAAGCACCCGTACTGCTCATGATATAAATCCTGTATGACTTACATAAGGACCCTAAACCATGTTAATAATGGTATATTTCTTGTTATGGCTAATGCAGGGTATATACCATCAACCATAGCTATAAGCAGAGTCCCCTGCTGCAGAATTCCGAAGTCCCCTGACTCCTTCAACCTTTACAACGGCATTAAAGACCTCTTATCGAACCCTTACCGGAGGCACCTAAAGGAATCGTTAGCTTAGGTGGGACTCAAAGGTTCAGGGCTAAACCCGCCGGCCTTTAGTGTCTGGGCTAAGAGCTTTAGGCGTTCTAGGGCTTAGGATTATTTTCCCAACGGGTTCAAGTACCATTATGGTAGGTAACCGGGCGGCAAAAGTGTATACTATACCAGTACTGGGACCCTTTGGGTTTGGAGGCCTTCACTATTTCGCTCACGGTTTTTGCAAGATCGAAGAGCCTGAGGGGGCGCGTATGCCTCCACATAACACCATGGAGCACTGATATTCCCCCTCAACCCCTAAACCCTAAAACCCAAAACCCCTAAACGGCCCTGAACCCTAAAACCCTAAACCCTCAACCTCTAAACCCTTTCGGTTCAAGACTTAGTTAGGGACCCCGAAGTCCAAACAAAAATGGGCGCCTTCATAAGTAGAAGAGGATCTTGAGAACCCACGAGACTAACCTTATAAAAGGGAAACCCCCGAAATAGCAGAGGCAATATACTAATCATATATTGCTATACTATTTTTTGGTAATATTCAACCCCCTTTAATAACTCCCAACCCCGCTAAAACCCGCCAGACCCTAAACCCTAAGCCCTAAACCCTAAACCCTAGACCCTGGACCGAAAAAGCACCTGAACGAGACGGCTTGGTCTCCGAGTGGAGCCTCAGCGCGCAGGTGGAGTTCCCTAAACCGAAGATCTTACTATAGGAGCCTTCGCAGCTCGAATAAGTGCTTTTTGCAGGGGGGGGGGTATGGTATTATTTAGTAGATTCTCAAAAGGGAACCGGGGTATGTTATGAGTACATTCTCAAAAGGGAACCCCACATACCCTTTGTAAGAAATCCTGAGCCTGGAGAGTGCTCGGCTTTAGGGCTCGAGCATCGGGAGTGGGGAGTGAACATGATTCCCAAGAGTCGACGCAACCGCCCCTGCGATGCTGGGTTACAGATACCGTAATGGTCATCAGCTTAATGGGGTTTATGAAGGTTTAGGGTTTATGACGGAGTAGTTAGAGCGCACTAATGCAGGAACCTGATTAAGAAACCTTAACCCTATAACCCCAATATATTAGGACTCATATATAAGCCCTAACACCTCGCGTGTAGTACCCTCATAGAATCATTTAAGGGGTCCTTTAAGGGTACCTTCAGGGGTTCCTTTAAGGGCTCCTTAAAGGATGCTTTAGGTATGTGGACTCACTGGGCTTCCCCACTCAGCATCTTTCGAATTCTCGAGACGCGGCACGTCAAGTCGAGGCCGAGGCACCGGCGTGCAGTAGGGCTTTCAGGGCTTAGGGTTTAGGGATTTATGGTTTTTTGAGGTGCAGTGGGACTGCCGCTCGCTTCCACTCCCGGCCCTATTCGGGCTTGCAGAAAACATCAAGCCGAAAAGAGGCATTCAGAATTCACGCCTCATGACACAAAGCCTTCAGACCTCGCAAAGCTCACCGGGATTTAGGAGCAACTGCTCGATGGCATCGTTTCCGGCTTCAGTTGCCCAATGTAGTGCTGTGCGGCCACCGTTGTCACGCAAATCTTGTCGAGCACCGGCATCCACGAGCAAGCTTGCAGCAAAGGCTTGATTGTAGAGTGCTGCAAACATCATCGCAGAAAAACCCTGATTGTCCTGCAAATCCATCTGAGCACCGGAGTCGACCAGACATTGCAGGACGCGGAGGCAACCAAACATTGCGGCCGCCATCAGTGCCGTACGGCCAGCATTGTCACGCAGATCCAGGTTAGCCTGGGTTCTTGTTAAGGCACTCAGTTGAAGTTTCCATAATAAGGAAACCAGCTTTTTCACGACAGATTCCTACAATGGTGCTTCGGAATTTATTTTAAGCTCCTGAACAACAGCCTAGTAGCACCAGCCTCAATGAGCAGAGCTGCAACTTTGAAACTGTCCGTGCACGATGCTTGCATCAGCGGTGTATCTGTACCAGCGATCGCTGCGTCCGGGTCCATTGGGATTTGCAGCAACTCTTCAACCTGAGGGCGTATTGCGGATGTTTCCTAAACCCTAATGGTCCTAATACCGCTGAAGCCTTAACAACGAGAGTTTGTATGTAAATCTCATGTCAAATTATTCAAACACATCTGTTAATAACAAAGAACTCTTGGGACAGGGGGTGCCTGGGCACTTATCGAGCCTTCATCTCCCAAGAACTTCTCAGCAACCCTAAATATCACTAAATCCTATCAGCCCTGTCTTAACCCATAAAACCTACATGACCTCCCAGAAATCCCTACATCCCCTCGGAGCTATGTTTATCCTATCAACCGTACATGAATCCTGCCGACCTTGAGCCCGTATAAACGCAAAGCTCTAAACCGTCTCTACACCCCAAAAACACGATACGGCCGTGTACCCTCTCCCACCGCACCGTAACCCTGCCTAAACCCCTAAAACCCCTTAAAAGCACCTATACCCTAAACCCTGAATCCTATATACACCCGAAACCCAAACCCTACCCATAGTCTCCTTTGTAGTTCCTTTTTTGGGGGTTACCTTATAGGATCGTTAATATAAAATTGGTTAAACCAAAAAAAGGAACTACAATGGAGACTACAGGTAAGCCCTGAACCCTGATCTGACTTGCTGGAGTACCCTAGTAGGGGGTTTAAGGGTCCTTTTAAGGGATCTAAAGTGGATCATGGGACTTAGTAAGTCAGGTTATAGGTACCCTATGAGGCTCCTGGCAGGGTCTTGGGCCTTCTGGGGGAGGCTTCCGGCTCTCGGGGCTGGGGTTAAGGGTCCTTATAGGAAACTCCAGAAAGTTGGAATATGGTTTCATGGTAGGATACCCTATAATTTACCATAGAAGGGTTAGGATCATCATATTCCAACTTTCTGGCTTGTACTGTAGGGTACAACTCTGCCCCCCCCCCCCCCCCCCGCCTCCTCCACCGAGTCTCTCTCGATTGCATGACAGAGCGCGGTCCTCTGGGTCTCGGAAGTTCCGCAGAATCCACGGAGAGCCACCACTTCCAGGTCCATGGCAGAGTCCAGCTTTGCCTCGCCGAAAGAAGGGCTTTCAGGGTTTATAGGTTTATAATCTATAGAGACTATAGAGTGCCAGGATGTTTAGTGTCTAGAGGTACATAGAGTGTTGTAAGTATCATGAATAACAAATATTTGTTTGTGGTTCGGGGTTTAGAGCTTACGAACTTTGGCTAAAAGAGCTTACTGGTATGTTCCCCACACAGGGATTGGGGTTTAGTAGGTTATGACTACAAAAAACGAAAGATGCATAATTAAATAGGTGTGTGTATACGTATATACATAATTAAATAATAGGTGTGTGTATACGTATATATATATATATGTATATATGTATATACATATTATCAGCAAAGGAGAACGGTACCAGTATCTTGGCGTGACGGCATCATCCAACGTCGTGGCCCCATGCAGAAGCCTTTGTCTGAATCGTGGTGGCAGGCCGTGCTTTCCATGCAATCGCTGCCTAGGATACCCAGGCTCTATAGGGCTCCTTTAAGGGATCTATATAGGGTTTAGGGCTTAGGGGTTCCTTAAAGGGATCTATACTAGGATACCCAGTAACCTAAGAATAAAAAGGCCTCTCTTTTTGGTATTGGGTAACATTATAAGGAACCTAGGACTACAAAAAAAGGAATAAGGGTACTACTGGGCATCATAGCTGCTTCAAGACCTTAACATTGCTAAGCTCCTCGATGGGAATACGCGTCAACTCTTCTCCGGAGAGTTGCGTGATTCGCAGCATGATGGGCAAGAAGAGGCAAGGCTAGGAGAAAATGGCTGATTCAGTGCCTTGTATGGAAGGGTTTAGGCTTAGGTGTTGAGTTGCTGGGGCTGGTTTATAAGGTTTAGGGCTTGGGTGTTTCGGTTTCAGGGCTTCGGGTTTAGGACCGATATGAAACACATCGGTGCACATAGGGTTAACAATGACATTTACAACCGCCGCGTGTGTGTTTTATACAAGGGGCTTGATAGGCTGTATTCGGGCTCTACGGCATTTTGGGATTTTAGAAAGCTTTTATGCGGTTTTAAACTTCAATGTCTGACAGGGTTTCGCACCCTGAGTCCTCAACCCCTTAAACGGCTTTGAGCGATGGCTTCGACTCGGCATTAATTTGGTGCCGTCCTGAATGTAGGGTTTAGGGTGTGCGTCATTCTGGCATGAACCCGCAACTGATGGCCTCGATGCTTGCACACGTTCAGCAAGACCCTACACCCCAAACCCAACCCCCCCCATGCTGCGCCAAAAGCATGTAGAATCATGTACCATGATTTTGCTTACTTTTTTTGGGTGGTTTAGGAACTTCTGAACACCTAAACCCTATAAGCAAAAAACACCACGAACCGTGCAAAGTCAGTGAGGATGGAAGCAGGTTCCGAATACAGGTAATGTCCCTAAGGGTCCATGTACCTAAGGGTCCATGTGCCCAAATAGGGGTTCCTTTAATAAGGGCTATAGGGGTTTAGGCTTTAAGGGTCCATGTACCGAAATAGTTTATACATTGGCCCAATGTACCTGTATAGGGACTTCATTAAGGCCAATGTATATACTATTTGGGTACATGGACCCTTAAACCCTAAACCCTTATAGATCCCTTATAGAACCCGTATAGTAACCCTTAAAGGAACCCTTAAAGGAGCCCCTATTTGGGTACATGGACCCTAAGGGTGTAGGAACTTGATTAAGAAACCCTGGGCCTTTATCGGAGCTCCGTATATGGTCCTACTATTTTGGGGTTATAAGGCCAGGGGTTCTTAATCAGGTTCCTACATTATCAGAAATTCGTACGAGGGAGCCCAAGACACATACTTGGAGGATCACGGGACTTAGTAAGTAAGGTTATAGGTACCATAATTGGGGTTATAAGTAGTTATAGGTATAGTTACCCTAAATATATAACCCCAGTTACTAAGTCCCATGATCCTTTAAGTAGGCATTGTGGCACTTAGGGCCCCGGGTCTACCTACCAAATGCTTGGGGGAAAAGGTTTTAGGGCCATGCTGGAGCCTGATTTCTCTAGCGCTGGCTTTTTGGCTTGGTTTAGGGTTTACGGTTTAGGGCTTAGTTTTTATTTGTTTTTTTGTTAAGGGCCTCTGGTTTAGGGTTTTGGGTTTAGGTTTAGGGTTTAGGTTTTTCTTGTTAAGGGCCTCTGGTTTAGGGTGTAGGGTGTAGGGCTTAGGGTGTCCCAGAAGAAAGTCGTACAATCATGTACAACTCAGGGCCCAGGTAGTTTTGACCTGAGCAAAGGCGGCTTCAGGCACCAAGCAACGGCTACACAAGGGGCCTTGAGTGGGTCCATTATGCGTATAGGAGGAACCCTAAGAAACATATGAACTCTTCACGCCCCCCCCCCCCCCGATTTCATGTGATATGAAGGCTCCTTCCTCAAAGCTTGTGGGTTTGGACAACCCGCTGGTTGCAGAGCTGCAGTTTATAATGAAGCTTCATTCGTATGTAGATACTTGTTGCTGAACATGTGATGATTGCGATTTTTTCAATACCACTAACAACTCTGCGATTCAGGGTTTAGGTTTTTCTTGTTAAGGGCCTCTGGTTTAGGGTGTAGGGTGTAGGGCTTAGGGTGTCCCAGAAGAAAGTCGTACAATCATGTACAACTCAGGGCCCAGGTAGTTTTGACCTGAGCAAAGGCGGCTTCAGGCACCAAGCAACGGCTACACAAGGGGCCTTGAGTGGGTCCATTATGCGTATAGGAGGAACCCTAAGAAACATATGAACTCTTCACGCCCCCCCCCCCCCCGATTTCATGTGATATGAAGGCTCCTTCCTCAAAGCTTGTGGGTTTGGACAACCCGCTGGTTGCAGAGCTGCAGTTTATAATGAAGCTTCATTCGTATGTAGATACTTGTTGCTGAACATGTGATGATTGCGATTTTTTCAATACCACTAACAACTCTGCGATTCTTGCTATGACCAGCAAAAGCAACCCTATCCCGCAGAAGTACTTGTGATCCTACGCTGCCCCAGCCACTGATGAAACCCGAACATCCTTCGCACCCCCCCCTCTTGTTGAATCGCCTCACAAAACCCAAAGGGTTCAAGTAACAGTATACATGCACATATTTTTGCGAAGCAACTATCTACTAAGCAGCTACCGAAACCCAAAATAAACTCTTTGGGAATGAGGATGTCAAGGGGACTACACAGGGTTTAGGGATTCGAGGGCCTTACTAGACAGATCCCTATCAAGTCCTTACTCGGGGTAATAAGGCCCGCTACCCAATTCTCTCATACCCCTCCCCCTTTTACGGGTTCTTGTGAATGTATATGGGGGTTTCCGGAAATGGGGGACCCGAACATAGTAGGACCTTTATTTTAAGGACACCAAACAAGGGCCTCTACTTTTCGGAAACTCTACACCCTAAACCCTGTATAGAACCCTTACAGATCCCTTTAAGGAACCCTTAACGGATCTCTTTACAGGTACCCCTCATTTTCGGGAACTCCCATACTGTCGATGGACAAAATCCTGCATGACCCTAAGGACTCTACACTATGGGAACTATGGTATATTCCTTGTAATGGGTCATGCAGGATTTATATCATCAACCCTAAACCCTAAAACCCTATAGATCCCTTAAAGGATCCCCTTAAAGGTACCCTTATAGATCCCTTTGAAGGAACCCCGGGGCCTTAGGATTTGGTCCATCAGCAGTATCCCAAAGGGTCCATGTACTCATATAGTATATAGGTACATTGGGGCCCATGTATCTCTATATGGGTACATGGACCCTTAGGGTATTGCTTGCTAGGGGAGGCTTTCGACTCCTTTATCGAGGCTTTGAGCTTCGACGGGTTTTAGGGTTTGGGGCTTCAGGGGTTTCGGGTGCAGGCTTTAGGGTTTAGGGTTAAGGGTTTAGGGTTTAGGGTGTCGGGTGTAGGGGTTCAGGGTTTAGGGCTTTAGGGCTTCAGGGGTTTCGGGTGCAGGGTTTAGGGTTTAGGGTTAAGGGTTTAAGGTTTAGGGTGTAGGGGTTCAGGGTTTCGGGCTTTAGGGCTTCAGGGGTTTCGGGTGTACGGGTTTAGGGTGTCGGGTGCAGGGGTTCAGGGTTTAAAGTAAAAGCCAGAAAGTTGGAATATGATTATCCTAAGCCCTTTATGGTAAATTATAAGGTATCCCTACCCTGAAACCATATTCCAACTTTCTGGAGTTCCCTTTAGGGCTTCAGGATTTCGGGTGTACGGGGTTTAGGGTGTCGGGTGTAGGGGTTCAGGGCTTAGGGTTTAGGGCTTCAAGGGTTTCGGGTGTAGGGGCTTAGGGTTTACCAAAGTATGTAGAATAACAGCCTTCAATGGGTACAGGGCCATTATTTTACCTACTTTGGGATGTTTAGGGTTTATGGCTTAGGGTTTAGGCTCGAACTCCAGTCACTAGGCACAGGAAGAAAGTACTTAAAGGATCACGGGACTTACTAACTAGGGTTATAAGAAGGGTAACCATACTTATAACTACTTATAAGCCCAATTAAGGTACTTATAACCTTAACTTACCAAGTCCCATGATCCTCCAAGTAGGGCTGGAGTTTAGGATCTGGCTTGAGTCTTTAACATGCAAACCCTCAAGCATGGTCGTCGACGGTGCTTTTCCTGTCGGGCGCACAGCCGAAAGCCTGTCCCGGTGTTCGGGGTTTAGGCTTACGTAAGTAGAATCGAATATACAGGGTCTATAAGGTTTAAGCGTTTACCTTGAACTACTATAACCTACCTTTTTGTCGGATTTTACGATGAACCCGCATATAAAACTTATATGGACCCTACAAACGAGTAGGTAGGCTAAGAAAGGGTCTCCCTCTTGCGCTTTCGAGGCTTCAGCAAGCCCATGACCTCGATGTGTCCCCACGAAGTAGCCTCCATCATCGCTGTGCTTCCATCTTTGGATACCAAGTTTCTGTCGGCACCCGCCTTTAGCAGCATGCGAACAATCTCGGCGTTGCCTGTCCTGAGCATATGTCGCGAGGCGCACAGTCACAAACGTGCATGATATCGGTCCGTACAAATATACCAGCCATTTAGCGAGTGGGCGCTTCTAGTAAGAGGTTTCGAGAAACGTTGGACTTGAAGACAGAAAGAAGTCTACAAGAATTCAGATCGAAATATCGGCTCGGCGGCATCGATGACAGCATCAAAGCCGTGGTGCCATCTCGATCCGTTGCATCCTTATCGGCACTTGCCTTCAGCAAAACACGAACCACGTCCACCCGGCTGTACAGAGAAGCCTGGATCAGTCCAGTTCGGATGAATGGCTTCATGTAGGTGCTTCTTTATATAAGTCCCTGAAAAGTTAGGTTACTTGGGGTTAAAGCAATAATTAGAATGGGGTTTTGGGCTATACTATACTAGTACTTATCGCGAGGAAGCAACCAACCGTCCATGAGAGAGAAAAAGAGAGAGCGATAGGCAAAGAGCTTGTCCCAACAGACAGCTCACCAGATCTGCATGTGACGTGTCTACATATATATATATATATATATATAATTTATATGTATATGCATATGCATATGAGTGTGCATATGTGTATGTGTATGTGTATGCGCATGCATCGACATACTGCCACTGTAGATGGTTTTTGGGTTTGGGTATCTGAGCTCTCTACTTGAGGGTTGAGTTAAGGCCTTTCCTTAAACATTGCAAGTGCAAGGTCCAAGCTAAAAAACAAAACGATCTTTTGCTACCTCCGGCCGGATTGGACTCTAAGTCAATCCCCCAGGGGGCGAGATGCCTCCATCAGCGCGGTAAAGTCGGGGGTTCGTGTTTCCATGTCGGCGTGGGCTTCGAGCAGTACTTGAACGAGGTTGGCATGACCATGTCTCGATGCACGCGTTAATGACACAGAGCATACCAATCTTCGACGGAAGGAACTGCGCGCTGTCAAAACTTTCCTCCGGCATTGGGCCGCCAGCATCAGGTGCACACAGTTCACGTGACCTTGATTAGATGCGGCAAACACGGCGTGGTCTTCGACTTGTGCCCTGTGCTGCAAAAGCAATCGCACAATTGCGTCGTGGCCACTGAAGGACGCCAAGGTTAGTGCCGTGCCAGCACGACACATATGGTGCACATTGGAGCCGAACTCAAGCAGAACTTGCACAATTTCCGCATGGCCAAGAGAACTGGCCGAAGTCAATGCTGTCCAGCCATTAATGTGGTCCGTCAAGTCGACCCCGGCACCCTCGAGGAGTAGCAAACGCACGACTTCGGTGCAGCCATACGCAGCGGCTAGTGCGAGAGCTGTTGTACCATCTGTATTTCTTGAATCGATGTTGGCTCCGGCCTCCGGCAATACTGGGGACTCAATTTACTACATAACTATCACTCAATAGGCCTACGGGCGGCCTCCTAATCATTCCGGCCTCCAGTAAGAATTGCACCATCGCGACACTGCCGCCGCGACCCGTGACTGCAATGGACAGCGGCGTCAAGCCATAATGACTCACTGCAGCATCCACGCGGGATCCGGCTTCGACGAGCACTCGCGCGATCTCCAAGTGGTTCGCAGATACAGCACTTGCCAGCGCCGTCTTACCTTCGCCAAACAAAAGTTCTTTGGAACGTTTCTTCAAAAGGTTCCTTTCAAGTTCCTTTTATCATAGGGATCCTTGGGGCCTTGGGGGGGTAGGGGGAGGGCGGTAGGGGACTATATTTCCTTAAAGCCTATGTAAAAAAAAATATATATATATATATATATATATATATTAAGGCCCCCTACGCCCCTCCCCCCTACCCCCCTAAGGTTCCTTCCAGCCAGGACCCCCCCGAATTGCCCTTGAAAAGGAGCCTCTATGCTCCATAATAGTGGGTATTTGGGGTAAATTAGAGGGTAGTTGGGGGTTGAATTCTTCCTTCTAGGGATGTATCAAGGGCATTTGGTTTTTGGGATGTCGCACCTGACTGAGATGTAAGATTGGGATCTTGTGGAAGCTGAAGCATAGACTCAACCTCCAGGTTCACAGCGTTCCAGACTTTACTTTAAAGGGTTTCGAGCTTACAGGATTTCGGGAAGTTTTGGAGATGTAAGAATCGGGTAGCAATTTTCGCGCGGTTCTCAAGCCTGAACACTAAACAGCATGGAAGGTCGGGCTTGGTGTGTTTTCGGAACAACCCGCCTTGGACAGCTTGGCGGATCTGGCAGCTCGAATCAATTTCTCCACTTTGCGTGGCGAGACGTTTGCGAAGTCGAGCACCACAAACTCTAGGACCATGTCCGCAGAAGTGGCTAGCTCGAAAGCATCTTCTAGTAGATCACCACGAAGGAATAGCCTTTGCCTGAATCGCGGGGCAAACCCGTGCTGCTTGTTCAGTACAAGCTTCAACGCCCTCACGTTGGCCACCTCCTCTCCCGCAGGTACCGATGCCACCTAGGAGTTTTGTCAGTTTTGGGTTTCGAATTTCAGGGTGGGGGATGTCCGCGGTGAGGGTTTAGGCTTCGGCGTACTTTCACCTTGGGGAGCCCTTCGACTTGATCAAAAACACACACGCACACAAAACACAGTAGCAGTGCTGTTCTCGTGGCTGGATTTGTTGCCATGTAAGCTTCATCAAGGCTTCGAGGTATGGCTGGCATGACCGTCCATGTTAGAACCGTTCATCTAGCACTAGTTTCTGTTCTTGGGTTGAAAATATACTGTCTCCTCAATATCGGTGCCCTGGTCGACATCAAGCCTAAAAGGTTAAGCTCAGCTAAACCTATCAGTTAGAAGCTGCCCCCACCTGTAATGGTGACTATAAGGATTATATTAGGGCCCTACTATATTCCCATTATACCACTATTACAGGGTGGGGGCAGCTTCTAACCTATCAGAATGGTCAAGGTCTTCCCAAAAAGACCCGGAACCCCAGATCGCTAACCCCGGACCCAAAACCCTAAACCCCGAACCTTAAACCCGTAGACCCGAAACCCTATAAAACCCCAAACCCTAAACCCCTAAACCCTACACCCCTAAACCCAAACCCCTACATAGTTGTTTCGGCTGACTGCCTCCTCTCCTGAAAGCATCCGCATGCGCAGCATGCTGGCATGGAGCTACGGGCCCAAGTATATGCTCTAGTGTACGCATACATGGACCCTTCGGGAAAGGATTTAAGCTAAGTTAAGGCTTCGTGAACCCCAACACCCCTTAACCCAAAGCCCCTAAAACCCTAAACCACAAAACCTAAACCACTTAGGGTCGCAAGACTGAGGGTTCTCTGATTTGGAAGAGCTTGGGGTTCGGGAAATTCTACCCCACGGCTCTGCAAAACGGCTATATGTCTTGCCTCTGTATGGATATTGCTCGATTTTTGCCCTTAAGCCCAGGGGTTTATGTGTCAATAGCATAGATCTGTCTGCATGCAGAGCTGTCTTGCTAATATGGGGACCTCATGACTTAGACTGGTGCTTTCGGGGTAGAGGCTACTATCATCATAATAAGGACCCCCCCCCCCCCCCCCCCCCAAAAAAAAAAAAAAAAATAATAGTACTGGCAATTAGGACCCTATAATTACTACTTGGATCAATTGCACTGGGCTTTGGGCTCTACCTGGAGGTTCATGGGTAGTTACACTTAAGTGGTGTTATAAGTCCTCTACTAACTATAGCTACCCTACTTAGTACCCCACTTATAGCTACCCATGAACCTCCAAGTAGGGGTACCCGGCTTCTGCAAGCTAGCGCGCCGGATTCGTGAGTTGGTAACCCTAAGGCTCCAAACAGGGTCTTGGGCCTTCTGGGGGAGGGTTTCGGCTTTGGGGGCTAGGGTTTGGGATCTCACTTCAAGGGTCCAGGAGCCTTAGGGAATAGAATAATGTAAGGGCCTTAATAATTGGAATATGGTTGTGGGGTATATTGTTCTCACATTGTTACAGGCTGTACATGTAATTTTGATAAGGAACCTCCGATATAGTATAGAGTTCTGGGTCACTGGCTTAAACTGTTTAGAGGTTAGGGTTCTGAGTTAGGGTTTTCATGAAGACTTCACCACGTTGATGGGGAGGGGGTTCTTGTCAGAAGGAATGGACGTTAGGGCTTCGTAGGAGTGGCGTCGCACTCTGAAGGGAATAAATCGATAAAGCCGAAGAGAACAGTCCCTGGGGCTTCAGTTACCTAAATAGTAGATTGCTAACCATATGTATTCTTGTAACCTACTGGAGTCCTAAGGATTGGCATCAACAGCTACAGTGCCAATCAAGGTACCGCTCTTTCCCGAAGCTGCCGAACCAAGCCGAACGCTGCGGCGCAGTTTTTTTGGAAAACCTACATCCAAAGGCGATGATCAAGGGGAACTTTGGAAAGGTGAGGAGCATCCGAAGCCGACCAAGGTCCAGACTTAACATAACATAAACCTCTGATTAATCCTACTTGTCGGGCATCGTGCGGAACTGAAGGTTAACCTTTTTGGTTATATAGGGAGTAATTGGACTATACTACCCCAAAAAAAGGTTGAAGGTTACCTACTCGACTACTAGGTTATAATCCTTCTCTTTTGAGGCTCTGATCTTGGGATCCCAAAGGTTCCAAGTATCATTATGGTATATACTTAGACCCCCCAAATACCCTATAAGTATATACCATAATGATACTTCGACCCTTTGGGTAAGGGAGGAGCTTCGTCCGGGGGCTACATCTTGTTTCAGGGCCCGTCTTTGCAACGTGCACATATTGGTAGGCTTCACCTTAACCCTGAAGAACCTACCTTTTTAGGGTTCCCTATTATGATGATCGTATATAAGTCCTTAAACAGGTAGGTTCTTCAGGGTTAAGGCATAGTTTAGGATCCAGGGCAAAGGGTTTATATCCTAGACATTGAAGTAACCAGTGACAAAAGACAGTGAGGACTGCAGTGCAACACCTGAAACGAAACCAGGGACAAGCACCAAGGACAGCGCTCCTAGTACTGAGCTCCTCAAGGAGACGGGGTTTATGCCTCATGATTCATAGAGCTCCTGAAGTGGCCCTAAGGGTTGAGGTACCTAATCATCGCCTACACCCCATTTTGAAACCATGGCTACAATCTATATAAACCCAAAGTCGCATATCCCAAATCCGCCAAATCCTAGATCACAGCACCTGATTATGGGTTCCTTGGGCCCTTCGGGCCATGTCGGGGTCAAGCCAATATAGGGGCCTTAAGCTGATCTGCATCACCCACGCAATCAAGTGCACCAAACCCTGAAACAGCACTCCAAACAGCCTTCAACAGAGCCCTTATGGTCCTTAGTACGTATATGTGGGTATTTGAGGTACTTCGGGGGTCTAGGGAGAGGTAACAGTTCATAGTTTCTTTTATTGTGTAGGGGGAGTATCTCCTTCAAGGTTGTTCAGGATCTCCTACCCCTTCCTCTCTGACCACCTGCTGGCCAATGCTCCCTAAACCCGAGAACATCTGGGTTCTTGTTCAGAAACTCAAATTAAGTTGTCTTGTCAGGAAATAATAGTAGGTACTGTAGATCCCCAGTAAGCATTACGGCAACTAAAACTAACCCTAAGGTCCAAGTACCATTATTTTCATACACTCTCCAGAATAGTAACCTACATAACTATTATCCCAAACCCGAGTACCTGATTATTTAGCCTTAGGGTAAAACCCTAAAGTCCTTAACAAGAACCCAGGAAAACGCCCTGAGCTCCCGAACGGTTTTTGAACCGGCGGCCTCGGCAAAGAACCACAAAGAACTGGCTCACAGCAGATGGGGCTCATTCTAAAGGGGATTGTAAGGGTTCCTTGAAAGGGGATTAGGGTTTAGGGTTTAGGGCTTAGGGTTTAGGGTTTAGGGCTCTATAAGGGTACTATCAGGGTTTAGGGATGTATAGTAAACCCCAAGAAGTTGGAAACCGGATTAAGGACAATTAGTGCTGGGATTATGTACTACTCGTAAGGATTGAGGCTATTGGGTTTCCAACTTTTGGGCTTCTACTGTAAGCTATCAACAGCTATTTTCTAAATGCTTCATTGGCACCAGATGCACTGTGTTTTTGGACACTGGGGGTGCCCTTGGAAAGATCCCCCACAGGGTCCAAGTCAGGAGTCAGAAGATAGTGCTTGGCACCGAAAAACCGATACTAAACTACTATTTGCTTAAGAAACACCCAAAAAATAAAAATAATAATCCCTATATTATCCCTATAAGGAATATATTTTTTGTTTTTGGGGGTTCTTAAGCAAATAGTAGATACTAAACCCCACCCCACCCGCCTCTGAGGCACGAGCTCTGCCACGCGAGGTGCGACTGCAGGGGCCTCGATTGTTGTCGAAACTTCTTCAAAGGCCTACCAGAATTTCCAGCGTTTAGGGTTGTTTAGGGCTTAGAGCTCGGCGTGTAGGGGCCCTAAATATTCAGATTATACCCTAAGGCTCCAAACAGGGTCTTGGGCCTTCTGGGGGAGGGTTTCGGCTTTGGGGGCTAGGGTTTGGGATCTCACTTCAAGGGTCCAGGAGCCTTAGGGTAGGGTTCCTTTACGAGGCTCTATACGGGATGAAGGTTTTCGGGCTTAGTGCCAAGGGCTTCGCCGCGGAAGCGGGCCGAAGCGGGCACAGGTTCCCATAGAGAACCCCTGCCCTGAGACTCCAAAAGCACCCATTGAATTCCGCTACAGTAGAAGCCAGAAAGTTGGAATATGATTATCCTAAGCCCTTTAAGGTAAATTATAGGGGATCCTACCATTAATCCATATTCCAACTTTCTGGAGTTCCCTGTACTGAGGCTCTATCTAGATGCTTGGATCAGCTGGGGCCACGAGGTCACCGCACCGCGCATAACCACAGAAATCGACGAGGGATAGCTTTGCAGACGATCCAGAGCCAGACACGAACAATAGGTTCCACATTGGCTGGCAGCTGCATACAGCTGACTACCTCACGATGGAGCGTTATGATGTTCTCGTCAAGGATGGGCAGCGGGGCCTTGCGAAGAACTCCGGTGCTGCTTGAAGAAACTGAACCTGCGACATCGCAAAGCGCTGGACCAACCTGCTGCTTGCTATATGCAATCAACGGGGGGGTTGACGGCGGGGGGGGGGCCTCCTGCCACCATTGGACTTTCAGTGCCCTGCACTGCTGCATATTAAGACAATAGTTGCCGGCGTCATAGGTCTGGCCGTTCCCACACGCGGGCTTCTGTGGCGAGCTGCTGCGACAGGAAGCCGCTCAAAGCGAGTGGGCGGGGCGGGCGTGCATTTGTAGCGCAGCACAGCCATACCGGCATTGACAGGATTCCATAAGTTAGCACCCACCTTGGCAACACGCCGAGGATGTCGTTATATCCTGAAGAGTAGTAGAAGGCAATCTTTCGGCACGTTTCTAGGATTCAGGAATCTGGGCTCCTTAAGGAAGTAGTGATCGTCCACACCAGCCTAAACGCTGGACCCTGAGGCTCAAAATAATCGCACCGCCTGATATAGCACCTATACTTGTCCAGTATCCTTGGGGAACTAAAGATAAATCTTTGGGATTACATTTGGATGATACAGGTATCGGTACAATCCCACAAAAAATAGCTTCAAGGATACTCTACCACTAGGTCACTAGGAACATGACCACTAAACTCTAAATTCCAAACGGCCGAAACCCTAAACCCCTGAACCCGAAACCCCTTAAGCCCTTAAACCCTAAATACTTTTAGGCCCAATGGCCCTCAACCGTAAGATCTCGGAACGTTGGGGTCTATAAGGACCCCATCAATTATGGCCCGTAGGGTTTTAAGGTTGCTTTTTAAGGAGATCTACGAAGGGTTCTATAAGGGATCCCCGTTAATGGAGCCCCTATGCTCCCTCATGGTGGGTATTTAAGGTATAGTAGAGGGTGGTTCATGGGGTCGAAGTACCCGAAACACTGTAAAACAATAGGTGCACTCTTCAAAGCCTCTGAAAAGTCTTCGTAAAGAAGATCCTTTTGAGCCCAATAAGGGGACATCTAAAATGTCCCAGAGGCCTACCTAGCCAAAAAGCCCTTATGGCACCCGCAGAAGAACCACATCTGTTTGCATACCCAAAGGCTCCACGTACTATTATAGTAGATACTTAAGCTTTAAAAGGGTCCCTATATAGGCACTTTAAGGCCTAAGTATATACTATATGGGGACATGGATCCTTTGCTTACTGAGGAAGTGACAAGGCGAGCCGAAGACAGGGCCTGGACAGTGGCAGAGGGATAAGAGTCGATAAGTTTAGGGGTTTAGGATTTAAAGGGTTCAGGGTTTAGGGCTGAGGGTTCAGGGGTTCAGGGTTTAGGGGTTCAGGGGTTTAGGATTTAAAGGGTTCAGGGTTTAGGGCTGAGGGTTCAGGGGTTCAGGGTTTAGGGGTTCAGGGGTTTAGGATTTAAAGGGTTCAGGGTTTAGGGCTGAGGGTTCAGGGGTTCAGGGTTTAGGGGTTCAGGGGTTTAGGATTTAAAGGGTTCAGGGTTTAGGGCTGAGGGTTCAGGGGTTCAGGGTTTAGGGGTTTAGGGGTTTAGGATTTAAAGGGTTTAGGGTTGAGGGGTTCAGGGTTTAGGGGTTTAGGGTTTGAGGTCTCGCAGAACCAACGCTATTGAGGGCTAAAACCTCGAATTGCGAGGCTAGGTTTTAATCGTCAGTAGGGTTTGGGCCACAGGTAGAACGATTAGTAGGTAAGAGTTGTATGATGAGGTCACTATACTCATGACTGCTGCTAACCCATATTAAGGCACTTACAGCCTTGCTTACTTAGTCTTATGATCCTCCAAGTAGACCCTAGCACACACTCGACATACCCCTATAGACCCGCAGAAATCCCCATATCAAACACTAAACAAGCTTCAGGAAAGAGTCTATAGCCAAATAGACCCTACAATCTACAAGCCTCTAACACCAGTATAAAACCCTTACAACACAAACCTGGTAAGACAAATACCTACCTAGACCCCCCAACTACCCTCTAAAAAACTCTAAATACCCACTATTAAGGGCCATTAAAGGGACCCTCTGATACACCCTACATACCCACCATTCAGGACCATAAGGGCTCCATTCAACGGCGTTTTTATTTAAAGCTCCGAAAGGGAAGTTGAAAGTTGGAACCCCCATGGAGGAACCTCAAGTCAGGGAAGGTGCTCGGGAAAAACAGAGATTAGGGTTTAGGGTTTAGGGTTTAGGCTTTAGGGTTTATAGGGTTTATAGGGTTTAGGGTTTAGGGTTTAGGGTTTAGGGTTTAGGGAACTAACCTGAAACATGTAATACAAGGGGCCTCAATAATTTCGATAGGGTTTGAGTGGGCCCATTATACTATAATTAGTCATAATGAGGAACCCTCAAAATAGCATTGGTAACTGTTTAGGCCCCTATGTTAAATTAAGCCGTCCTGTAAAACCCGACACCGCATGATTCACTGATGCTTCTCACAATGCAGCCGAAAAAACATGTCCCCATAGTTCGGGTTTGGGTGTGGGTTTCGGAGTCTTGAGTTTGAAGGTGAGAATGTGGATGTTTGGGGTTAGGCGGTTTCGGTGTGCTAAGGTTTAGAGCTTGGAGATTGTGGAGGCCTCTCAATTCACTTCAACCCTAAACCCAGGGCGCTGAAACTCCAAACCCCTTCGTCGGAGCCTTTCCCAGATCCCCCAACTACCCTCTTATACTCCCCAAATAAATATGTACCCACTATTAAGGACCATAAGGGCATAAAGGGCAATTGGGGGGTCCTGTTAATCATGATGAAAGGAGTTTGCTATGCGGGCTTTACAGGGTTTAGTGTAAGTACTCCTCAAGGAATCTAAGGATCCGCCAAATTCAAACAATGCAAGCCTGAATATGCAATGGCATTGGGCTCTCTGCAAAAGACCTTTGGCTCACATTCCCAAGTCGCGTAGTTCAGCCACCGCTTCACCTGTCACGGACTGCAGAGCAGTGCTGTAGGTCTTGCGCATCCAGCCACAAACTCCGACAGCAGGAGCACGAATCCAACATGACCTTTCCCAGGCGCCTTATGCAGGAAGTGAAGCCGTCTTTGCGGGCCAGGAATTTATCGGCACAAGCCTGCGACGAAACAGGGACGACTTCCGTGTGACCGTTCGCAGGTGCGATCGTCAAAGCTCTCAAAGCGTCGTTGCCGGCAAAGCTTGTGTCGGCACGGGCCTCCACCAGCAATCGTACGACATCGACATGACCATGCGCAGATGAAGTCATCAAAGCTGTGACGCCGTTGTTGTCGGGCAAGTTTGCGTCGGCACCGGCCTCCAGCAGCATGCGTACGACTTCGACACGACCTTGGCCAGATGCGGTCGTCAAAGCTGTCGAGCCGTCGATGTCGGCCAAATTCTTGTCGGCACCGGCCTCCAACAACAAGCGAGCGACTTCACAATGACCTTTTGCGGCTGCGACTGCCAAAAGATAAGTGCCATAGCTTTTGGGCAAGTTCTCGTCGGCCAGCAGCAAGCGGACAACTTCCAGATCACCCCGCGACGATGAGATCAACAAAGCAGTGACACAACCTAGGATACCCAGTAACCTAAGAATACAAAGGCCTCTCTTTTTGGTATTGGGTAACTTTATAAGGAACCTAGGACTACAAAAAAGGAATAAGGGTACTACTGGGCATCCTAGCAACAGTGGCCGGCCTTTTTGTCTGCACCAGCCTCCAACAGCGCGCGCACGACACCCACATGACCATGCAAACATGCGATCATCAAAGCTGTGCAGCCGCGGTTGTCGGCCAAGTCTTTGCCGGAACCGGCCTGCAACAGCAATCGCACGACATCGACATGACCTTGTGCAGATGAAGTCATCAAAGCTGTCGAGCCGCGGTTATCGGCCACGTTTTTGTCGGAACCGGTCTCCAAGAGCATGCGCACGACTTGGACATGACCTTGGCCAGATGCGGTCGTCAAAGCTGTCGAGCCGTCGTTGTTGGCAAAATTTGTGTCGGCACCGGCCTCCAACAGCAAGCGAACGACTTCACAATGACCTCTCGCAGATGCCCTCGTCAATGCTGTCAAACCGGTGTTGTCCGCCAAGTCTTTGTCGGCACCGGCCTCCAACAGCAAGCGAACGACTTCACAATGACCTCTCGCAGATGCCCTCGTCAATGCTGTCAAACCGGTGTTGTCCGCCAAGTCTTTGTCGGCACCGGCCTCCAACAGCAAGCGTGCGACTTCCAACATGACCCCAGCGGCGATCGCCAAAGCTGTCGAGCCGTCGTTGTTGGCAAAATTTGTGTCGGCACCGGCCTCCAACAGCAAGCGAACGACTTCACAATGACCTCTCGCAGATGCCCTCGTCAATGCTGTCAAACCGGTGTTGTCCGCCAAGTCTTTCTCGGCACCGGCCTCCAACAGCAAGCGTGCGACTTCCACGTGACCTTGCCCAGCGGCGCTCATCAAAGCTGTTGAGCCGTCATTCAAGGCCAAGTTCGCATCCGCCCCGGCCTCCAACCTATACTGAACTTGGAACCCTAGCAAAAACTATAATTTTAGCTGCTTCTTAGCGATTGTAATAACCAAAAATTGAAAAGTATTTCTAAGTACCCCTAAGCAACAGCAAGCGCGCGACTTCGACATGACCTGCCAGAGATGCCAACCTCAAGGCTGGCTGCTGCATGGTGCCAATCAAATCCGCATCTTGGGGCAGCTGCATCATGGACTCAACCTGAAGGGTTCTGGAAGCTTGCTGAATACAATAGTCTTTTCAAGGTCTTGATCATTAGAATAGGGTTTTCGGGTGTCCTTTTTATGTTTACAGCATAATATACCCTCGAACCCTCGTCTAACTATTAAGGCCCCCTATATTACGACGAAAGCAAGAACTCTGAAGGCTTCTCCATGGCAAGACCCGGGCTGAATCCTTGCCCAAAGGGTCTAAAGTACGGATATAGTAGAATGTAGGGTTTCTAAAGTAGGAATTATCTATTCTGATTTGGGGAAGTATTCCCCATAACAGGTCCTATGTACTCGTACATAGGACCCTTTGGGTTAGGGTACTTGGAGGTTCAAGGGTTTAGGGTTTAGTGCAGTCATCTCGGTTGAGGATTTCAGCATTTTCGTCTAGTACTTGGAGGTTCATGGGGAGTTATACGTAGAGTTATAAGTCCCCTGATTTGGGTTATGAGAAAATAGATACCCTACTCAGAACTCCACATACCCAAAGGCTCCATGTACCCATATAGTAGGTACATAGGCCTTAAAGTACCTATGTAGGGTACCCCTTTATGGCCTAAGTGCCTACTATATGGGCACATGGAGTCTTAGGGATACAGCTACCCTTAGAACCTCCAAGTATGGCTTGCTCAGGCAACCTTGGGGCTCCACTTACCAACATACAGGCACTTCCGACCATTAAGGGTACCTCAGTTTGAAGTCCTTATCATAAGGATCCTACTAGTTAGGGTACTATACTAGGGTCCCCTATCTTCGGAAACCCCCGCATAGTAGGTTACTGACCATATATTATCTACCCCAGTAACCTATTGTTTAGGCAACTGGAGCCCTAGCACAAGTTATGGTCTATCAGCAGATGCGCGAATGTGTGCAACTTGTAGGAAGGTCGGAAAACGGACCCCAGGTCAGGTGTACGCCTGCGCGGTCAAGGCTTCCAGAGTTTTGAATCACGTATTATTCAGATCCCCCATAGTTAATATACCCTAATTAGGGCTATGTATCCATAGATGGGTATACATTGACCCTAAAGTACCTACGACGGGTTTATCTATGCCCTAAGCCCTAAACGCCTAAACCCGTAAAACCCTAAACCCCTACCTGGACCCCAAAAGTATGTAGAAATAATTAGGCTTTTACAGGTTTTGGGCCATTATTTTATCTACTTTTGAGGGTCTAGGTAAAGCCTAAACTATACTCCGGAGGGTACTCGCAGCATGTGCAGAAACACTTCTACGGACATGATCGTGTATATAAAAAGACTCAAGTCAACTCGTCCCACCTGGGTCACACGGCCGTGCGTAGCAGCGGCTGCAAGGTAGTCTACCTGTTTTTGAGAAACATGAGCAAACTTCAGCAGCACGAGGTCCAGGTACATCGGGGAGTCCAGCGTCACAGTATCCTTCAAAATCTCGCCTTGGAAGACAACTCTCTGCCTAAATCGCGGGGGCATGCCCTGCAGCTGAGCCAGCCGCCGCTTCAATTCCTTCACGTCGTGTATCTCTTCCACAGGTATGCTCGTCACAGCTTCCCCGGAGAGCATTCTGAGTTGTAGCATCGCTGCGAAATGGCTACACCATCAAGTAAAGAGCAACGCCTCTAGTAAGCCAAAGTGTCTTGCTGTGGAGCACGGCAACCTGTCAACAAACCAACTTCTTACCCAAGTGTTGGCCCGTAACCCAAGGGTCCAGAGGTTGTGGGTTTGGGATAACAGTTCTGAAGTATTTGGGGCAGTATATGATTACTAGGTACCTGGACCCTTGGAGTACGTAGAAATGTCTCATCGTCACTTCACCGCGATATCTATGTACCCTATGCAGGCTATATACACCGTACCCCACAGTGTACCAATTCACTCCTTTAACAAATGGCTGGTTGAAACATGACCAAGCATGGTCCGAAGTCCTTTCACTGGCTATAGAGGTTGATTCCGAAACATTTCAGCATCGCAGTTCCCACCTCGATATGGCGCCGTCTTTCCTCGCCGAAGGTCGGACTTACACAAATGGGAGGTTCCGAAAAGAGGGGACCCTAATATAGTACCCTAAATAGTAAGATCCTTATTATAAGGACCTCTAGATAAGGTACCCCTAATTTTCGGAATCTCTAAACTCTAAATCCTAAACCCTTTATAGAAGCTTCATAGATCTCTTTAAGGAACCCTTCAGGGATCCGACTAAAGGAACCCTAAGCTGGAAACTCCCAAGTAGGAAGAGGCATAAGTCTCCTTTCCCAAAGGGTCCTAAGTACCTATATAGTAGAATGTCGGGTTTCTATATGGGAGTTTCCGAAAACTTGGGGAACCTTATTTGGGGGGTCCTTATAGTAAGGATCCTACTATTTAGGGTACTATATTAGGGTCCCCTGTTTTCGGAAACCCCCATATAGTAGAATGTAGGGCTTCGATATCAGGAATTACCATTATGGTTTGGGGAAGTATCTCCCAAAACAGTACCTAGGACCCTTTTAAGGAACCCTAGAGATCACCAGGGATCCCTTTAAAGGAGCCCTAGAAACCTAGGACCCTTCGGGCTTTCACCTGCCAGGCCTAGAGCTTGAAACCGAAGCCCGAATTCCCTAAGGCTCCATGTACCCTTTAAGGGTTCCTTTAAAGGGAATCATACGGGGGCTCTTATAAGGGTTCTATGAGGGTTCTGTTATAGGGCTTAGTTCAGGGTTTAAGGCTCCATGTACCCATATGGTAGATACTTGAGCCTTAAAGAGGTCCCTATATAGGTACTTTAAAGCCTAAGTATCTACTATATGGGTACATGGAGCCTTAGGAATCGGAGACGCCAACACAGAAGGCAATACGGGCGTCGCCCTAAACCCTACCTAGACTCCCCAAAAGTAAGTAAAATAATGTCCCAACACCTATAAAAGGCTATTCTTCTACATACTTTTGGGGTCCAGGTAAACCCTAAACAAAGGATTCCCTAAACCCTAAGCTCGAGATTCCCTAAACCCTGTATGCCCTAAACCGGGTTTGGATTTACGGTTTCCAAACCGGCTTGGGATCGAGGGCTTATAAGGTCTAGATGCGCATCTTCAGGGGTTGGGATCTTCGGAGACACGACAGTCATTGTGGTCTACAGCTCAGGACGAAGAAGGGTCGAGAGTTGAGCTGTGTAAGATCTACCTTAACCTCAACCTTTTGAAGGACTTAATTATCTAAGAAACTCATAATAAGGAACCCGAGAAAGGGAGGTTTCTTAGGGTCCCAGTGGTTCCTGAAGGCTTTAAACATTCCGGGTCCGGGGTTTAAAGGTTTAAACTTGTCTTTGTGGTTGTTCCGGCCAACGCGTCTCATGTATGGCATAGACGACCCTAAACCCTAAACCAACGCCTACCGACCCCTAAAGTATGTAGAATAATAGCCTTTTATAGGGTTTCGGGCCATTCTTTTACCTACGTTTGGGGGTCTAGGTAGAGACTTCCGGCGAACCCTAAACCCTAAACCCTAAACCGAAAGCCACAAAAAATCGGGTAGCTGGGGAGGCTACGGGTGAAGATCTGACAGCCTTATCCTAAGGGTCCATGTGCCCAAATAGGGGTTACTTTAAGGGCTCCTTTAAGGGTTACTATAAGGGCTCTATAAGGGTTCTATAGGGGTTTAATTAGGCTTTAAGGGTCCATGTGCCCAAATAGTATATACTTTGGCCTTGAAGTATATAGGTACTCTGGGGCCGAAGTATATACTATTCGGGTACATGGACCCTCAGGGGTATCGTGTCAGGGGGTCCAGGTAGAAACGACTTATCTTACATTGTCTGGGTTGGCCTTTAAAGGCCTTCGAAATGTTTCTGTAGATCGCATGATACACACATTTTATATATATATATATATATATACATATAATATTGATACATATAGATATACACACATATATACTTGTTTGTTGAAGTGCTTATGTAAACGACCTAAAGGCCAATGGCAAATGCAGTGTTTGTGGTTGAGCCTAGGGCCTTGCCCGGAGACATGGATCAAAGGGGAAAAGGAGGGACCCTTAATGCGGACCCCTACCCTATAATGGGCTATATAAGAGGTATATAATGGCTATATTAAGGGTATATACCTACCACTATGGGCTATTAGACCCTAAAGATCCCTATTAGGACCTTATTAATGGTAGATTAAGGTACCCATAAGGTCTAATAACCCATAGTGGTAGGGTCCTTATTAAGGGAATCCTAAACCCTAAACCCTAAACCTTTATAGAAACCTTTTTGATCCCCTTTATACCTAGGGGTCCTTATTAAGGGTCCCTCCTTTTACCCTTGGAATGGAGAAAGAGGCAGCCAGGGCGCGGGGATCGCGAAAGATAAATAGAATCCTGAGTAAAACTACCGAAACCTAGGGTTCCTTTAAAGGGTTCCTTAAAGGGTTCTATAAGGGATCTATAACAGAGGTAGATGATGTAGGAATCCTGGCAAAGCCCAGAGGGTCCAAGAATGTTATAGCACTTACTTTTGGGGCCCAAGTACCTACTATAATGATACTTGGACCCTGAGGAAACGAAACATGGCTGCAGCATACTGTAGGGGCCGTAATAACTAGAATAGGGTACTATAAAAAATACAATGAGGAACCCCAACATAGTATAGGCAATCAATTATTAAAGCCCCATAGTAAATCCGAAGGCTTATAAGGATCCTATACCTCCAAACCTAAACTCCCAAGCTACAAAAACCTACATGACATGTCGGGTCTTGACAAGTTCTTGCTTTGCTTTTTTGGGCGAGGCCTTCAATGCTAAACTGAGGCGGGGCTACAGTTGTGGACTTTGAGCTTGAAAGCTCGAGGCCTTAGGGATTGATTGCAGATTGAGGGCTTGAGGTGTTTGGGGTAAGAGGGCTCCAGGGTGATTGTGTTAAGGGCTTATAAGGCTCCATATATAGTGCCACCATGGAATTAGGTCCCAAAAGACCATCCATATCATGGCTTTGGGGACTTAATTCCATAATGGTACCATATGTGGAGCCTCTAGGTGAAGGTGTGGGAGAGTTCAGAGTTCGCAGCAATGGCATAGTGGTTCCCCCTGCAACCTACCGAGACAATCTTAAACCCCCAAACCAAAAGAAAGCGGTTTAGGGTTTAGGGGTTTGGGTTTAGGGTGTATAGGGTTTAGGGCTAGGGTTGAAGGGTTTGTCCACACATTCTTGAAGGAGACCGTCCAAAAGGACAAGGATACCCCCAAACCGTCACCATTTGCCGGAGAGTACCCGGTATCCTGTAACAGAACAGGTACCCTGTGCTGCTTTGACAACGAGCCCCAAATATGACCAACGCATTAGCGTACGGGCAATGTAGGAACCTGATTCAGAAACCTTGGGCCGTTACTAGGGTTCCTCAGATGAATCCTACTATTTCGAGGTTCTAGGACCAGGGTTTCTTAATCAGGTTCCTACATTAAAAGGGCAACAGCGCTGGAGCGTCTTTACGCAGGAACGGTAAGGCTTCTCACTTCTCCACCCTTTACCCTGGGCATCATAATAGCCCAAAAGCCTTAATAATAGGGTCTTTGGGCCCAAAGGCCTTAATATGTGAGTCCTTAGATGCCCAGGGTTATAAACACTGGTAGAAAAGCCTCATACCTGGACCCCAAAAGTACGTAGAAGAATAGCCTTCTATAGGGTTTTGGGCCATTCGTTTACCTACTTTGGGGGGTCTAGGTAGAGACTTCCGGCGAACCCTAAACCCTAAACCCTATACCTTATAAACCCTATACCCTAAACCCTAAACCCTGAACCCTGAACCCTATACCCTAAACCCTATACCTCATAAACCTGAAAAAAAACTCTGCGATCTGCGCGGCCTCGGCGCGGCGCTCGTTCTCGGCAAGTTCCCGCTCTCGGACCCTGCGACTTTCGAATCGCTGTCTATACACCCGGAGGCTCCATATATAGTGCCATTATGGAATTAGGTCCCAAAAGACCATCCATGTCATGGCTTTGGGGGCTTAATTCCATAATGGTACTATATGCGGAGCCTCTTGGATATAAACTGTTTGTAAGGAATAGTAAAGAGATTACTATGCGGTTGGTCGGGGGTATAATTACTAACAGGGCTGCAACAGTTATTATACTACAGCAAAACAGGGCCGAGCCATGTAGGGGTTAGGGCCTTGGAGTTTAAGGTTCAGCTTCTACTGATGATGATATAAATCCTCATTACCTTAAGGACTCGAAACTATTGGAATTATGGTTATAGTCCTTACAATGGGTAATGCAGGATTTATGTCATCAACCGTAACCCCCCCCCCCATCATATGGGAGTTTCCGAAAATAGGGGGACCCTAAGATAGTACCCCAAATAGTAGGATCCTCATTACAAAGACCGTACCCCTAATCTTCGGAATCTCTCAACTCTAAATCCTAAACCCTTAATAGAACCCCCATAGATCCCTTTAAGGAACCCTTCAGACGGGATCCGTCTAAAGGAACCCTAAGCAAGCAAGAGCCTGGGGCAGTAGAAACAGCACCGCGTTTGCGTCTTGCGCCGAACGGAGGCTTCAAACTGCAAGCACACTTTAGGTACGGCCCCCATACAGTAAGAGTC